AGGATATTTTAAGAAAATGACATGATGTCATGTTGGGGGGAAAAATCTCCCAGAATAGCTTCAGTCAGAGTTGGCAACCCTAAGGTTAACCCCATCCTTGGGACCAAGTTGGAGCTACAGCAACTTGGGTAATTTGCAAGATAACAGTCTGACCGCAAAGAGTGGCAATATCCCTACCTCAGAACATGTTCTACAGTCTCTAAACCCATTGTCCTTGTTTTTAGACATGCCTACAGGCCTCATGATTGTGGCTTCCTGCCTCCACACAGTTCCTTAAGCCAGTACTTTCCTCACAAAGAATTAAGTGCACATGGTAGCAGTGAAAGGAAGGTATTGCTTAGCTAAGACAGAAGCAGGGACCCTTTTCTCCCTTCCCCTCCCCTCCTGTGAGTGCCTCCCTTACCTTCCAACCAAAAGCAGTGCACTGTGCCTGCCATAAAAGGTGTGCAATGCTTTCACTTTGCAAATCTCATCAACTTCTGCAGAAGAGAAGAATCATGGCTTCTCTGGCAGCTTAGCAGCAGAAGAGGGTGAAGTGGAAGAGAGCTGAAACCGAAGATCCGGATGTTGGATTCACAGAAGGAATGGATGTATCACACCAGTCCCAGAAATCTGTGGGATCAAGGGAAAGGTTTATAGATGCCTGAGTAAGACACAGTAGAGGAAATTGGAATATTGAATGTTGGGAAGATGTAGAGACTATTTGGAGAGCCCCACTGAGGGCAAGGAAGAGAAACCTCTTTTTGTCAGCAGAAGGGGTGACCTGCAAACCACAGGAAATTTTCAGCTTTCCTAGGTATTTGGGTACTATTGAGTACTGAATTGTAATTATGGATCCTTAATCTATCTAGATTCTTATGAAAACAGCTTACCCATATTTCTTCAAGTAGCATAGCTATTGGTGCTCCACGGCTGGTGCCCATGCAACCCTTCTTGCCTTTGATGGGAGATTTTTCAGTAGCAATGCCCGTTCGGCCCAGACATCCACCACCATCTTAGGCTGTACAGCCAACTGCATCTTTTCTGAACTGATTTACTAAAGGTGATCCTCAATATCAAAGATGCATTAGTAGTACCATTCCATTATTTTTGCAAGAATTGGATTGCTGTGTTTTCCAAATTATAACACCATAAGTTATATCTTTGATATATTAACATCTTGTCAGGCAAAAGTTAAAATTTAGTTAACAGCTAAGACAGAAACCGCAGAACAAGCAGGAATGCTTCAGTAGCATTCAGTAGCAAGGACACCTACACCTGTAAACAATTGATAAGCTTATATGGTCAATGCCCGCCCAGTAACTCAGCTCTTAGAACAGAATAAACCCTCCCTTCACAGCCCACCGGTTATCTGTAAGCACTCATCCCTACCCCCCACCCTGTCTCCTTCCCCCGCAAGGTAGTCACAGACAGGGCCGGCTCCAGCGTTTTTGCCGCCCCAAGCGGCGGAACAAAACCAAAAAAAGCCGCGATCGGCAGCAGCTCTACCGCCACCGCTTCATTATTCTTCGGCAGCAATTCGGCAGCAGGTCTTTCCCTCCAAGAGGGGCCGAGGGACCCGCCGCCAAAGAGCCGGATGTGCCGCCCCTCTCCGTTGGCCGCCCCAAGCACCTGCTTGCTGCGCTGGTGCCCGGAGCCGGCCCTGGTCACAGACGTTTGATGCAATTAGGATGACCTCTATATGTACGTACTGTTCTTATTTTTGTCTTTGTTCAGGGTTCTCTCTTAACTTGTAACAGTGTCTGTCTCTGTATGTACAGATAAATGCAAATGAATTGATAAGAGAATGTATATAACTGGCCACTATGGCACCATATTTTTGAAGCTGCTTGTCAGTCTTCCTGGTACCGTGAATAAACCCCTTTCAGTATTGTCTGTGCTTGCCAGATTCTTGGGGAAAAGAATCTTTTTGCCCAACAATCTAACTGAATATACCTCGAACAACAACCAGTAAAGACGTTTAAGCCTTCCTAATAGTGCCTCTAAATGATGATAGAGCTTACTTACATTGCAAAGTTCAGGACAGAGACTTTTGCCAAGTGTCCGCACATTGCTTAGCAAAGTAGGACTGAAAACTCCAACTGTTACTGGAATATAAGCGAACAGTTGTATGGAAACCTTAACAGTGTCTCTACAAGAGGCACATAACTCTAAAAGCTCTGGCTGTTGCACCAAACTTGCAGGGGTTATTTTGGTGTTGCCAGTTGAAATAGAAAGAATATATTGTCTAAAATGTGAGTAAATTCAGTTCAGGTTTTATTGCCAATAAGGAGTATGTGTTGCTAAAACTAAGTGTGGCACATTAAGAAATTCCTATTAAGTAGTCAAACAGTTTCTGCATTTATTAAATCCAGAGACACCAAAATCAGTCTAGCAGGTGCCTCTGTGCTGATAGCCTGAGACCTTAGAAGTGGGTGTCTGAAAATTCTAACTCTTAATTCCAAAGTTATTTGCTGTAAAAGCCACTTGGGGCACCAAAATGAAATCATGTTTAATTATTATAAAAAGCACATGAAATACCACTGCACATCGGCTTGTAAATATGGTTGAAAGCAAACTCCAGCTCTAGAGGGCCTTGTTCAGTTGCTGCACTGCCCTTCTTGAAGAGGCCTTGTCACGTTGAGTTTCTTCCCATCAAGTGGGCTTTGTTCTGTCCAGTACGGATACAAGACATGGTTGTTCTTGGTGTGATTTCCTCCCAAATCCAATCTTATAAAAACATTAGAAATGTACCATGTTAACCATTTTAGTGGTAGGTTCTCCTCCTGCTAACTGCTAGTGCCAAAACTAATTAAACTGCAGAACTTCCTAGGCCTGGCTTTGTAAGTCATGCGCTCCCTTAAGCCAGCCACTATACCGAACTGATGATAATGGGAGAAGTCCTAGTGAAACCCCACACTATTCTGAATTAGGAAAATAAATGTTAAATTGAAACTTAAGAACTGCTTTTTGCATAGTCAGGCACTCCAATTATTTATAGAACTGGATTCTGTGCGGTTCTTATTTGAAATCACTGGCATTTGCACACAAACAGTTTAAGCCTAACTTGGAACATATTAAGTGCTTTGGTACAATGCACAATTTCAGATTGTTTTAAATTTAATCTCACTTCAGATTTGAAGAAGTATTGTTCACCTTATTCATTCATCTAAATTTGAGGCACAATATGAACATTCAGGAAAAGCTTTAGGAACAGTGGTAACAAGCTACAGTTAAACAGTCAGACTATTACTGAAGATTTCTCTTTCTCCATTGAAAAGTTTTATGGCATTGAGAAGATTTTAATATTAAAATGGTATATTATTACTCAGTCTCTGAGTACGTTAGTCTCTGAATCTCTGTTATGACTGTCAAATGAGTGTTAATTGCTACTAATTATCAGACAGGTAAGGCTATCATAAAAGGTACCATAAAGACTTTACAGGACCTAAATATCACGTGGAAATAGTGCAGAATTGAGTGCGTGCATCTTGCACATGTCATGTTATTGTAGACTGCTTCACTATAGTGGGCATGCTGTCTACAATGAAAATATATTACTAATCAGTGAAGGTTTTAACCAGAAGAATAGTCAGGCTACCATTTTCAAAAGAACCTAAAGAAACTCAGTCAATATCAAAGGAATTTGGGCATCTAAGGTTCTTTTGAAAGTCTGAGCCTCAATGTTCATAGGTCTGTTTGAAGGATGACGTTGGAACCAATTTCATTCTATGTTAAGTACAGGAAAAAGCCAAAGGGAGAATTATTCTATTTCCTCAAATTTTTGCTCAACAGAAGCCTTTTGGGCAGTGAGAGTGGGTCGGGATATCTAACATTGGTGGCTGTACATTTTGCATTAGTAAACTTGCAGTGGAAATTCTATCTCCTGGAATGAAAGAGAAATGTTACTTTAGACAGAAGTATAAAAGGTCATAAAATTAATAAAAGGTCAAACATATTACTACTTTCCTGCTGAATGGGTTAAAAGTAATGCTATTCCAAGCTTATCAGATACCTATACTAGGACTAATAGTAGAAGGGTTAGGTGATTTGTTTCTCCTCTACTTTTCATAAGACAAACTGAGTATTCTCTCACATTTAGATTTCTTCTGTTGTGACTCTGGTAAGCAAACATGTTAAACGACTGAACTCATTGCTGCCAAGATATAAAAAGAAGACCCCAATCAAAGTAGGGTTTGGGTTTATTTTAAATCCTTGGTCTGAAACGTATCTCTAAGAGTGAAAACTTACCACTAGCGCAAACCTTAGATTACATTTTGAGACCATTAGATATCTGTTAAACCTACCAACAATGGGTTAAGTTCTTCTGTCCTTAAAGCAGACTGTGGCCCAATATATTCATTATTTGTCCTCGTTACCAACATCTGAAATGCAAGTTCATATAATACCCTGTTTTAAGTATAAAAAGCCCACCTGAAGAAAACATTTACTACAAAAAAGTACTTGTTTGTTAAATATGATTTAGGCTACATGGTTGTTACAATACAAAGCAACAATCATTAGCAACTTTTTCTGAATCATAAAATATTTAATGTATATTTTGGGGGAATATACTGTATATAAAATTTCAGATCACAATATGAAGCGATTTGAACTGTCTCCAAGCTAGCACTGCCTTCAATGCTGAGTAGATGTATTGCCACTGATACAAGTCCTACTAAAAGCATACAGTTTTAACTAATACAAAAGTGGCTTGTTTCATATGAATTCTTTTTTTTACACAACTAGAGTGTCTTGAATACCCTCCTTAAGTGCAAAAAACACAGATCACTTTACACTAATGTAGCAACAATGCATTCATATTGTTCTCATTAGTCATTAGTAGTCAACTTGCATAAGATACAAGAAAAAGCACAATGAAGCTCACAAAAATAGACTAAAAATCAGCCTGTTCTTGCAAAAAAAGAAAAAAAGAAAAAAATGCAGCATAATGGGGAAAAAAGAAAGAAGGATTATGCACACCACAGAATTTTTTGTTCTTTAATCAAACTGGTTTAAGTGCTGCTTTTTTTTTTTGTTTTGTTTTTTTTGTAAATCAAACTGCCTGGACCAGGCACAACTAATATTCAGGAGGCAGTGTGTAGCTAAAACTTCACTGAACTTCTTTTAATCCCCACAAATTATCTTCCTCTGTCCTGAGGTAGTTACAAAAAACCAACATAATTTAAGCATCAGCTACAGTTGGCCAGTCAGAGCTGAGGCTTTTCTTTTTCTGTTTTAAAAACTAGTTGTCAACTGGCCAAGACTACCTTTGATGGTGAAAGACAGCTGAGAATTTGAGTTCTCACTACACAAAGAGATGGCTGTAGGGGGAAGAGAGCTGCTTCAGAATGTGACAATATGTTGAGTCCCATCAAGTTGGCTGGTCCACTGTTGAATTTCCCATGTTTATTCTCCTTTATTGTCTATAGTCACTGGGAGAAGTCAGGTAGGAGCTGAACATATCATCGTCCTTTGCTGTACCCAGGGAAGAACTGGTCAAGTAGTGTCTGCAGTATCTTGTTGGGAACCATGGTGTAGCCCTTCCCAAGGTCATGGCGGCAGGCAGGGCAGGTGAAGACTTCAGCTCGGAAGGAGCGCTGTAAACAGCTCTAAGACACGCAAGGAAAGAAAATTACAGCTTTTCTTTGTGCTGAACAACTAGCTAAGCAACTACTAGGGAGCAAACGTAGTGCTCAGCATAGCTAGAACTGTTACTAAGCTGTTACTAAGTCTTCTGATACACATTCTTGCCGTTACACAGAGGAAGACAACAAAGAACTCTGTTCTTGGCTACATTACAAGCAGTAAGTTTGGCATGAATGAAAGTACAGGTCACCAGGGAAGGACTCCACTTCCCCCCGCCTCTCTGCGGGTAGGAGAGCTCCGTCTGCAGATTCTTTTTAGCATTCCTGCTAAACTTCTCAAACATCCCAGCCATTCATTTCAAGCTATGACTCTGAATACGCAGTTGTAGCTTATATCTAAACTTTTATGAACTTGCTAGGGCTTTGCAAATTCTTCCCTAATTCTTCCTTTCTTATTTTTTTTTATCTAAATACTTTTTTTAAAACTTATTTTTATTAAGCTTACTATGCACACGCTAAATAAATAAATAAAGCTTACTAATTGTATACAAGACAAAAAATCCAGGGCAAATGTCTAATGGTGTAAGTACTAAACAAAACAAAAAAACATGCAGTCCACATCTACTCCATCTTTATGAAAGATCCCAATATTCAATCCTCAAGGGGGATATGTAGAATAATCATACACATGGTATTCCACAAAATCTATACCAAACATTTACAAATAAATATCCTATTCCCCTTTCGGTTGTCCCCAGGTCTCCAAGTGACCCCTTTTTGTCCTTCCCTAGGCATGTGGGTGGAGAAGGCAGAGCAGAATCTCATGGAACAGAGCCAGCCTCTGGGAGCAGCAGGGGCAAGGAGAATCTCAGCTCCTGGGCAGCAGTTATAGTAGCAGACTGCTCTGTACAATTTGAACTCTGGACATTGTTTTCTTCCCCCATGGTCATTCTGTTGCCACCCTCATTATCCTTGTCCTTTGGGATCCTCACCATCTATCCAGCCTTCTTCATTCCCTTCCTCTCTTTCCTTTATTTTTTCCACTCCCTTACTTCTGTTTATTCACCCCATCATGATAGTCCTGGCCGACGTTCCCTCTAATTTTTTATGTCCATGTGTGGAATGAATTTTGTTATGTGCACCAATATGGAGGTGATGTGTGGTGGGGGTGGGGCCAATGGGTTTGGAGTGTGGGCGGGGGCTCAGGGCTGGGGTGCAGTGAGTGAGGGCTCTGGCTAGGGGTGCGAGCTCTAGGGTAGAGCCGGGGATGAGGAGATTGGGGTGCGGGAGGGGGCTCAGGGCTCCGGCAGAGGGCTGGGGGGTGAGGGCTCTGGCTGAAGGTGCAGGCTGCCCCGGGGGCTGTAGCAGGGAGAGAGGACTCCCCCCAGCCCTCTCTCGCTGCTGCAGCTCAGGGCCAGGGGAGAGGCACCTCTCCTGGGCCACGGCAGCTCCGGCGGATCTGGGCTGGACTGGGGGAGGTGCGCCTCTCTCCAGCCATGGCAGCTCTGGCTAGGCTCTGGCTGCACTGGATTGGGGGAAGGGCGCCTCTCCCCGCCTGTGCAGCCCTTGATAGCCTGCTGCTCTTAGGAAGACACTGTGCCTTACCCTAAGTGTCTGTACAGCATCTGGAACAATGGAATCTATTTTTTGTTCAGGATCTCTCGGTGCTAGCATATCATAAATAATAATAAATAAGTGATCTGTGTTGTATGAGGTGCTAACGCTAGTCTTAAAAATTAAACTTTGAGTAAATTTTGTACTTGGAAGATATAATGATCCAAGTACAGTTAAACCAAATTCTTGTTCTTCTACAGAGCTAGTAAATTAATAACCTATCTCTCCAATGCAATGGCAGAGCTATTCTCAGGCATGCACATCCCTTGAACTGTGACCACATAGCTAACATGTAAAAACATACTGGCAGAGAAAACACATGCAACAGAGATAACTGATATAACAGAAGCAGATGTGACATGTACAATGCAGTGTATGTGTCTATAGATACATCCCTGTACACAAATTCTCTCTCTCTGTATATGCAAAGTCTTTACTGATTCTAGTAAACACTGGATTCCATAAACTGCCTGGTATCCAAGTCTTCAAGTCTGAAAATATGAAGTTTATGTATATGAAGACTTATGGCAATAAACTCAAGCAGCTCAATCTATTTAGCTTAACAAAGGGAAGGTTAAGGACTGACTTGATTACAGTCTATAAGCCCTACTTGATAAATGGGCTCTTCAATCTAGCAGAGAAAAAGATATGACACGATCCAATGACTGGAAGTTGAAGCTAGACAAATTCAGACTGGAAATAAGATGTACATTTTTAACACAGGTGATTAACCGTTGGAACAATTTAACAAGGGTCATGGTGGATTCTCGGTCACCAGCAAATTTTAATCAAGATTGGATTTTTTCTAAAAGATATGCTCTAGTGTAGGAATTATTTTGGGGAAATTCTATGGCCTGCGTTATACAGGAGGTCAGACTAGATTATCACAATGATTCCTTCTGGCGTTGAAATCTACAAATTTAATATAATTTCCCAATGGGTGCCCATCAAATAGTGTTAAGACACCATAACTTACTCAGGTAATGAACCAATATAATTTGTATTGCGTTGTTTTATCTAATCATTTGTTGTAGAATTTGATATGCTGTGTTCTTTCCTAAATAGATGAAATTAGGTCTGTCTTATTGTGCCAAAGTCTAGCTATTGGACCAAGTCAGTCCCTAGTGTAATTTCATTGATTTCAAGGAGCAACACTAAAGGAAGTTTGACACGTCTGTTTAAAAACAACAACAACAACCACCACCTAATGCATTTCCATTTTTAAAAAAAATATAAAATGGAAGAAAATACAGATTACTCATTTAAAATAAACCATAATCACACCAAATTGGGAGCAAACTTATTGCATTCCTTGGTCAGAATGCTTGGTATAATTATTGTCTTGCTAAAATATAGACTGGCTCAGTTGACTGGTGCCTCAATGCCAGAAACTCAATCCAGAGCAGGACAGAGTTTGTACTTACTTTACAGACGTTATGGAGGCACTCTGTTGTCACTGGCTGGTAAACCAGCTCCTGGCAGCAGACACACATAAAGGATTGTTCCAGTTTCTTCAGAAAATTCTAGTGTAGGGCAAAGGAAAGAAAAAATGGGATGAGAACGTCCTACTAACGGCACATCCATGAACATGGCAAATACATAAGAACGAATAATACCCTTGTGCGGATTGTCTAAAAATTACTGTAGCTAATGCAGTTTTTAACAAGGGCAAATCATTTGCCCAACTACTGTAGTAATCACGCCTACTTAAAATATGTACAAATTTAAACCTGGTGAGTCAAATTTTGCTTTCATTTACACAGCTATAAATCCAGAGTAACTGAGAACAGAATTGGGGCCCATAAGTGTTTGGAAAAAGCACAAAGACCAGCCCATTCTCATATGACAGCTTCTACGTTCATCCATATTTTATATAAATGTTATTCTTTTCCTAAGCCTTGGGCTCTAAGCAGGCCAGGAGTTCCCGAGTTAGTGCTGATTAATAATTTTGCACAAGTGCCAAGACACTACACTTCTCCAAATATGATTACATGACAGCTTGATTTTGTAGGTAAGCATAGTTAGCTTGTTTATATTCTAGCTTCCTTTTTTCATACCAGACAGTCTGAATTGCACATTTCTTCCAAAAAGCCCACTGGTATTGCTCCCACACCTGCAGAAATATTGTGTGTCTAATATAGCCATGCACTCACCTTGTGCCAATGTTAATCTATTTCTATATTCTGCTCACCTCATGCTTGCATGACTGAACTGTTATTTACTGTTTCTTCTTAGATTGTAAACTTCTTAGGGAAGAACAATGCTAAGCACATTAATAATAAATAATAAACACTGAATTTGTTATACCTTTGTTTTTTCAATTGGCTTTAAATTCGTTATTTTGGATATTTGGTTGGGTTAAGTCTTCCTCAACCCTTCATACCCATGACAAATACAACCTGACGGAGTGGCCAGGAAGCTGGTCCATGGCCATGCTAAATTTCCTGCTTCTCCAAATCCTCCTGGGAATCCAGAGAAAAGACGGTTACTTACCTTCTGTAACTGTTGTTCTTCGAGATGTGTTGTTCACGTCCATTCCACATTAGGTGTGCGCGCGCCGCGTGCACGAATCGTCGGAAACTTTTTCCCTCAGCGGCTCCCGTCGGGCCCGCAGGGTCTCCCTTCCCGCCAGAGCGGCGCCCCGCCCTCGCGTATATATACCCCTGCCGGCCCGACCCTCCCTCAGTTCCTTCTTGCCGGTGACTCCGACAGAGGGGAAGGAGGGTGGGAAGTGGAATGGACGTGAACAACACATCTCAAAGAACAACAGTTACAGAAGGTAAGTAACCGTCTTTTCTTCTTCAAGTGCTTGTTCACGTCCATTCCACATTAGGTGACTCGCAAGCTTACCATTGGAGGAGGGTAGGAGTCAAGGAATAACTGATTGCAGCACCGCCCTGCCGACCACTGCATCATCTCTGGTCTGATGGTGGACCGCGTAGTGGGCTGTGAAGGTATGCACTGACGACCAGGTGGCTGCCTTGCAGATCTCCTGGAGCGGGACCTGTGCCAAGAAGGCCGTCGAGGACGCCTGGGCTCTAGTGGAGTGAGCCCTGATCTGAGGAGCAGGCATGTTGGCGAGCTCGTAACACGTACGTATGCAACTCACGATCCACGCCGACAGGCGTTGCGTAGAAATAGGCTGGCCCTTCATACGTTCCGCAACGGCCACAAACAGCTGAGACGATTTACGGAAAGGCCGGGTACGGTCCAGATAAAAAGCCAATGCCCGTCTAACATCCAGGGTATGTAGGCTGCGATGGCTTGGGTCCGTATGGGGCTTAGGGAAGAATACCGGTAAACAAATGTCTTGCCCCATGTGAAAATTCGTAACCACCTTTGGGAGGAATTTAGGGTGAGGCCTAAGCTGCACCTTATCTTTATAAAAGACAGTATAAGGGGGCTCCGAGGTGAGGGCCCTCAACTCCGACACCCTCCTAGCCGAGGTGATGGCCACGAGGAACGCGACCTTCCATGAAAGGTGCGTGAGGGAGCAAGGCCAGGGGTTCAAAGGGCGGCCCCATAAGCTTAGTGAGGACCAGATTGAGGTTCCACGGGGGTATAGGAGGGCGCGAGTAAGGGAACACCCGCTCCAGACCCTTGAGGAATCGGACCACCGTGGGGTTGGAGAACACGGATCTGCCCGATTCCCCAGGGTGGAACGCCGAAATGGCGGCCAGATGCACCTTAATAGAAGCGGGGGCGAGGCCTTGACGCTTGAGGTGCAGCAAGTAGTCCAGAATCAGTGGTATCGAGGCCTGTAAAGGCTGTGAGTGCTGAGGCTCACACCACAGGGAGAAGCGCTTCCACTTGGCCAGGTAGGCTGCCCTCGTGGAGGGTTTCCTACTACCAAGGAGGATTTGCTGGACCTCGTGGGAACACCTGTGCTCCACCTCACTTAACCAGAGAGAAGCCATGCCGTGAGATGCAGCGACGGCAGGTTCGGGTGGAGTAGGCGACCCCGCTCCTGAGTGATGAGGTCGTGATGGAGGGGAAGGGCTATCGGAGCGGTCACGGACAGTTCCAACAGAGTTGTGAACCAGTGTTGGCGTGGCCACGCCGGGGCGATTAGGATGACTGTCGCCCTGTCCCTGCGGGCCTTTAGCAGGACCCTGTGAATGAGTGGGAACGGGGGAAAGGCGTACTTCAGGCTTCCGCCCCACGGGATTGCAAAGGCGTCCGCCATTGAGCCTGGACTGTGACCCTGGAACGAGCAGAATTGCGGGCACTGGTTGTTGCCCTTGCTGGCAAACAGGTCCACCTGGGGAAACCCCCACCTCAGGAAAATAGAACGGAGGATGTCTCGTCTCAGCCTCCACTCGTGCCTGAGGTAGGACCGGCTGAGACGGTCCGCTAGCCCGTTCTGGACCCCGGGGAGATATGCTGCCCGAAGTTGTACTGAATGGGCTATGCAGAAGTCCCAGAGGAGGAGAGCCTCGTGACAGAGGGGAGAGGACCGGGACCTGCCCTGCTTGTTTATGTAAAACATAGCGGTAGTGTTGTCTGTCAGAACTGACACGCTGTGTCCCCTTATGGTGGCGTGAAAGGTCTGGCAGGCGAGGCGAACCGCCCTCAGCTCCTTCAGGTTGATGTGGAGCAGCCGTTCCTCCCTGGACCACAAGCCCTGAGTGCGCTGGTCCCCTAGGTGCGCTCCCCAACCCAGGTCCGACGCGTCTGTTACTAGCGTCAGAGTCGGTTGAGGGGCGGCAAACGGGACCCCCGCGCAAACCTGCTGTTGATCGAGCCACCAACGGAGGGCGTTCGACACCCGAGCCGGGATCGTGACGACCATGTCCAAGGGGTCTCTGTTGGGGCGATACACCTGAGCCAACCACAGCTGCAGCGGCCGGAGTCTGAGACAGGCGAGCCCGACTACGTGTGTGCACGCTGCCATGTGCCCCAAGAGTTGCAGGCAACATCTGGCCGTAGGGAATCGCTGAATGGAGGTCACGGCCTCCTTGATAGCCAGGAATCGCGATACGGGAAGACTTGCCCGTGCCGCCACCGAGTCCAGGACTGCCCCTATGAAGTCCAGCCTCTGTGTGGGGACTAGTGATGACTTGGGCACATTGATCAACAGACCGAGTTCCCGGAATACTTGCAACGCCAGTTCCACATGGGCGCGGACCTCTACCTCCGACCGGCCCGCCAGGAGCCAATCGTCCAGGTACGGGTAGACGCGCATCCGTCTTTTTCGAAGAAAGGCGGCTACCACCGACATGCATTTCGTGAAGACACGTGGGGCTGTTGCCAGGCCGAAGGGCAAGACCGCAAACTGGAAATGACGCTGTTGGATAGTGAAGCGCAGAAAACGCCGGTGGGCCGGGCGAATGGCAATGTGAAAATAGGCGTCTTTCATATCGAGGGCAGCGTACCAATCCCCCGGATCCAGGGAAGGAATGATGGTACCAAGGGAGACCATACGGAAACGCGGTTTTTGCAAGTACTTGTTTAGCTTGCGAAGGTCCAGGATAGGACGGAGGCCCCCTTTCGCTTTGGGGATGAGGAAGTATCTGGAATAGAACCCTCTTCCTCTGAGGTCCAGAGGAACCTCCTCCACCGCCCCCACCTCGAGGAGGGTCTGTACCTCCTGCATGAGGAGTTGCTCGTGAGAGGGGTCCCTGAAGAGGGACGGGGGTGGTGGGTGGGAGGGAGGGGGCGAGGAGAACTGGAGGGCGTAACCTGACTCCACCGTGCGCAGGACCCAACGGTCTGATGTTATATGAGACCATGCACGGAAAAAATGGGACAGGCGGTCCCTGAAACGCAGGGGTGGATCCGGAGAAGAGATGGGTACGCTGTCCTCGATCGCAGCTTCAAAATCCTTGTTTATTTCCCGGCTGCGGCTTGTTTTGGCCCTGGTTTTGGCCTTGGTTAGGCGTATTGTTGCGCCTACGCCTATTGTCCCTGCCCCGTCTACGGTATGGTTCCTGCCGAGGGCGAGGATGGTACTGCCTCTGTGGAGGTTGGGGCTTGAACGGCTTCCTCTGTGTCACAGGGGTGTGCATCCCTAAGGACTTAAGGGTAGCCCGAGAGTCCTTGAGGCTGTGCAGCCTGGCGTCTGTCTGCTCTGAAAATAAGCCCGAACCCTCGAACGGCAGGTCCTGGAGGGTATTTTGTACCTCCGGAGGAAGGCCAGAAGATTGCAGCCATGCAGAGCGTCTCATCACCACACCTGACGCAATTGTTCTAGCGGCTGCGTGGGCAGAGTAAAGTGAGGCTTGTAAAGAGGTTTTGGCCACCGCCTTCCCCTCGTCCACTATGGCCTCAAACTCAGGTTGCGAGCCCTGAGGCAAGGCATCCTTGAACTTGGACACTGATGCCCATGAGTTAAAGTTGTGCCTATTTAGGATCGCTTGCTGGTTTGCTATCCGCAACTGGAGGCCTCCGGACGAATAGACCTTCCTGCCAAATAGGTCTAGTCATTTTGCTTCCTTGGCCTTGGGTGCTGGGGCCTGCTGGCCATGCCTTTCCCGTTCGTTAACCGCTGAGACGACCAACGAACATGGGGTCGGATGGGAGA